CTAGATCATCAAAGCTATTCTCTGACACAGATAATCTACTGTGGCACTTGAGTGTCTTAAGATCAATATATTTTTGTACAGCAGCCTATTTCCTTTCTCCTCTGTGTCTAAGAAGAAAAAATAAACCTTGTCACAGATAAATTAGTGAGTCTTCAGGTTCAAAGTAATTAGTGAGAGAGGCATTGTTACATATACCTAAATAATCAGGCATATACACAAACTCACAATTCCCATGCCACATATACACTCCATTTTAGAAAGATAATGAAGATGGTCACGACACAGAAGAATTAGCGTTTGAGAGGAAAGAGAGATAGAAAAGGAAAGAAAAAGTTGAAATTCATTAATATGTGTTTACTACATTCATTCAAGCTATACATATATTTAATTATTATTAGTTCTCTATATTCATTCATACTGCACATGGCTTGAAAGGGATAGAATAAATAGTGACTAGGAAAGCACAGGGCAGAGGCACAATCAGACAAGGTCAAAGACAAAAAGTCATTTTCCATACTTTCACTTGCACACTCATGACACCAATGAGCAGTTCATACCTGTTTTCAGAACTGCATGTCTCTTAGGTTACTGCCAGCCTTATGGAACTAGAGCCATAGGAATGGGTCATTTCCTCCAGAAATTCCCCAGAAAACAGCCCTGGTTCTTTCTGTTTTTGTTTTTTTGTTTTTTTTTTTTTTTTTTTGAGATGGAGTCTCGCTCGGTCGCCAGGCTGCAGTGCAGTGGTGCAATCTCGGTACACTGCAACCTCTGCCTCCCTGGTTCAAGCGATTCTCCTGCCTCGGCCTCCCGAGTAGCTGGGACTACAGGTGTGCACCACCACACCCGGCTAATTTTTGTATTTTTAATAGAGATAGGGTTTCACCATGTTGGCCAGGATGGTCTCGATCTCTTGACCTCATAATCCACCTGCCTCGGCCTCCCAAAGTGCTGGGATTACAGGCGTGAGCCCCCATACCCAGCCAGCCCTGTTTTCTTTAGTAGTGTTCCAGGTCACCCTGGAGTTCAATTCACCATGATGGCTGCCAACTCTGTTGTTCTTTTGCAATTTAAAAATAAATTATAAGCTAGAACTATATTTATTAAGTGTCTTTAAATACATTCCTGCTAGATGAATAAAATTCAGCAATGAACTTGATTCATCTAAAGACCTTGATTTGCACATTCTCTAATATAGGTTTATTGATAGTAACTAGAGAGGAATTTATGGTGTGGTATTCTTGGAGGATTTGGAAAGCAGGGGTAGTAGGATTTGTAATGAATAATAATGAATATATCATAGATATGAGGAAAGACAAAGTATTAAAAAAAGAGAAGTTAAGAAAGGGAGAAAGAACAGCTGATTAGAAAATTGTTTTTGCTTCTCGGTAGGAAATACTTGGCATGGAACTGGGCCATAGTCTCTGACAAAAGGGCCAGGAAGCGAAGTCAAAAGGAAGAAGGCTAGAAGAAAACTGCTTTTTTTCCCCTCAAGATCACTGTTCTCTCTCATGGCCCATTGTTTTCTCTTGATACTGGAAGATCATCCTTCTTTTTCACGCTCTTGTCTCCATTAAAGAGTATCACAGAATGCCTTGGAAATAGCCATTTCCCAGAACAAACAACATTTTATGGCAGATGAACAGAGAAAAAAAATAGCCGATGTCATTCAGTATTTTACCCAAGTGACTTTTCAGAGGACAGGCATTCTAAAAAAGAATGACTGAAAAAGTTCACAAACTTATAATCCACCTTGATTCAAATTTAATTCAGTATTTCCCTTCAAGGGGGGAAAAAAAAAGAAGTTCTGTTTTGAAAATTAAGCAAGGTACCCTATGACTTCTACTGAAATAACAGCAAGAGGTAAGGCTGAGGGAAAGCCTCCTCCCTCTCAAACCCAGGGTGCAAATACTCTCATGGTTGAAAATCAGACAAGAGTAAGGACCTGCACACCTATCACAGAGACAACTTGAGATCCTGTAACAGGTCAAGCTATGAAATCTGGCATGGAGTCTATAAGATGAAGGGCTTAGAAATTTGAATCACATATACCCTTTCTCTCCAAATTTAATTGCATAGTCTTCTCAAACTTTTCCACTCAAATGCCAATAATACCAGGGATGGAAGTGGAGAAGATTCACACACACACAAAAAAAATGAAATGTCTTTGAATTCTTACGGTTTTTTTCTTAAAGATTTATGCTTATTTGTATTCTTCTGCATAATATATCAGTTTGGTTTCAATTTAAACTTTTACTCCGTATTAACAATTAAAATTAGCTTCAGAAAAAAATGTACTATATTTGCTTTGTGACTCTACCTAACCCTAGATACATGGTTACATTGTTTAGCTCTAAAGGTGTTAGATTAGTTTAAAAGACCCACGTGCATTTGTTTTTTCTAGTCAAACACTGTTCAACCAGTGAGCACTGTATTATTTCTCTGATATTAAATTTCCAACAAAATTAATGTTCTTAATACATTAAAGGTTTATTGTGAAAATCTCAAAAATAATTTCCAAAATCTAATCTTGATTGTTTATGACAGTATTGAATTGAAATCTTTCCAATTGAAAGGTATATTCTTTCTATACTTTGTGATCAAAGCTGGGAATATAACGTTGCTGACATATTTTCCTCTCAATGCTGTTTTTGGTGGATGTAAATAGAAAATATTTTATCAGATTAAGAAAACCTGCTGTCATCTGTGTCACTGTCTTCCCAACAGAGATAATCCTGGAAGTTGTCTTATGATGATTTTCCATGGCTGATCATGTGAAATATGTGGGATTGACTTCCTGAGAAAGTGTGGATAGAGCATCAAAAGCAAATCCTGACATCCTGATTAAATAACTGCCTCAGTTCCCTGTTCTCCAAATAAGTCTCTGAAGCTAGAAGATGCTAGATGTAGCTTTGGATACAAGGCTTTCCACCTTCATGCTGAGTTTCCACCTTATTTGCTTCTGAAAACCAATGTAAAAGGAAAAGAGAAAATATTTCCATAGAAATGCTATTAAAAATTTTTAAAGAAGACACAAATGACTATATAACAATTTATCTGATTCCACTGACATGATATGTCCAAAAAGGCACATTTATTGGAACAGAGCACACCAATAGTTACCTAGGACCATGGGTAGGAGCAGGGATTAGCTACAAATGAGCAGAAAGGAAATCTTGGGGATGATGGAAATGTTCTAAAATGTTATTGTGGTGATGTTTGGACAACTTTATAAGTTTAATGATAGTCTTTGAACTGTAGGTTTATGATGGGTAAATGTAGTGGTATGAAAATTATATCTCAATAAAATTGCTTTAAAAAAAAACAAACAAACCAAAAAAACAGGAACTGAAAACTCCAGGCTTTGGAGAGAAAGGATGTTTCAATTAGGCTCTTAATGATCTAAATATCAGGCAAATTTCTGGCTAATTAGAAATATTTAAACACAGAAAATAGGGCATTGCTTAAAATAACTGTAAGAGATGCCAAGACAAGGAAAAGCACTCTATTTAGTAAGCAGTTGCTTCTGTCGATATTTTAAATTTCTTCTTTTTGTGTTAACTTAGATGGAACATTTGCCCCCCAAAAAGTAGAATTGGGCTGTATTAGTTTGTCACGCCTATATCTTCCACCAAGAAAGAAGTTTAGCACCTATAAAAGACTTACTACGATAGAATCAACAAGAAAACCAAATATAAAAGTTGGATTTCTCCTTTTTGTTCCTAAAGAAAGACCCTATTGAGGAAAGAATTTAAAAAATGATGAGATACTATGGAGAATGACATGTACTAGATATTCAACTAATCCAGTGTTTCTTCCTCTGGGTGCACTAGCCAACTACATTTCCCAGCTTCCCTTGCATGTAGGATGGAGTCATGTCTAGCAAACAAAATATAGATAGAAGTGATGTTTGTTACTTCCAGGCAAGGCAATAAAACCTACTGCACAACCAGCCAAGGTCTCTGTCTCTCTTCCCTACGGATACAGCCAGAAGTAAAGAACTCCAAGGTGGTGGACCCATCTCATGGAAGGATCCTAGATCTCTGAATTACCTCTTTGAAGAGAGCTGTCTGGGAAAACGGCCCAATTAGCACTGGACTTGGACTGAACAAGAAATAAACCTTTCTTTTGTTGAGCCATTATAATGTTGGGATTGCTTGTTAAAGTAGTATTAATAAGCTTAATATAATATGCTATAGTACTCAAAGCATATTTCTTCTTTTTTTTCCTTTCATCATCTAGGCCTATTCTTTCTCTTGTGCCTATTCTTCCTATTTATCTTCATATTCCCCTTCTATGTTGACTCAAGTTAATGTTTACTTCTAAGGAAGAGGAAGAAATACATGAGTAGTTTTCATCCTGTGCCTTGTTAGGACCCTTGTTTAAGAACTAGGCTATCTGAATGGCATAAGGTGAAAATAATACTGCAATTCTTCCTTTTGCAGAGACAGAGTGTGTCTCAAGTCTTTGGTTAAAGGGTTAAAGCGTTGCCTTGTCACAAATAGCAGTGATCTGCCCACCCTGCTAGAAGTTCCCAACAGTGATAAATACCAGGAAAGAAATGTCAGAGTTGGTAGCCACCTGTGGGTCAAGAACCATGCTTTTATTTTCTAAAGTGTTTGGTAGTGGAGAAGTGCATACTGGTTGCCCTAAAGCTTTTTGTTCACTCTCAGAGTTACCTCCCCAAAACAGTAAATCATCATTTCAACTTGATTTTTCATTATTTCATTATTCATGTACCCTTGCCTTCTTTTCTTCATATAGAGCAAATGCAAGGAAAGAAGAAAGGACCCACCCTCACTTCAGAAACCATACCCCAAACCATACTCAGCCCTTCACCCTCACCCAGCCCCCCACTTTCTTAGCCCTAGATCCCCCCAACTCCATTGTTAAAAAAAATAATTCAAATAAAAAACAGCTCATAAAACAGTAAACAAAATAAAGTCAGTTTTTTTTTTTTTTTTTTTTTTTAAGAACAAAATGAAACTTGAGGGAAAACTTACTGGAGTTACAGTTTATCCTGATACAGTCTAGATGGGGAAAAATAAATGAAAGATGAAATTGCATCCTTCAAGGTAACAGCTGCAGACATCCAAAAACAATCAGTCCACCCTTCCGGGGACAGACACACGTAAGAAATGTGGCCATTTTATATATATACAGTATGTACAAGTTTAAGGGTGGGTGTATATGTACAGTATATTAGTAAAGTTGGATACATATATATATACACACACACACATATATATACACATATGTATAGAGATATATACTGGTATACATATATATCCACAGTAGACACCAAGCATGTTTTCTTTTTTTTCTTTTTTTTTTTCAAAAAAAGCTATTCATTTATATAAAGGATTTCAAACCTGGACTTCGAAATATTAATTTTGTTAAACTTGGAAAATTAGGCAATGATTCCCCCACCAAATGCAGGTTATATTCTATTTTCCCCTATAATTTATTTTCTTAAAATTCATTTTTAAAGTAGCATTAGCACAATTTTTGTATTAGTATTCCAAAGATATATCACCAGTCTGACTCACTGTATCATTTTAAAACTCTGCCCATGAAGTTTCTCAGTGAAGTATTTAACCCTTTCTCTTTTTCTAAAACCAAACTCCCTCCACCCTCTCCTTAGGTTGGGCCCCAAATGCTATAGAAATTTGCATAGGCAGACTTGCCATCTTCCTTAGAGGTAAGGAAAGGGTTAACACCACCTGGTCATTTCCTGTCATAAAATGGCCACTTGCAAACAGCTAACCGCACAAACACCCATCCCAGATTTTAGAGAGGTGGGGTCGGGTGTAGGGTCAAAGGAGTTGTAGGATGTTATCACAATGAATTGGGTTATCTGATTGCTAGGATTCAAAGGCTTCCAGATCAACCCCCTCGAGCAGCCCATCTCTGTCTTCCTGCCTGAATGCTCAGACTGAATCAAGTGCCCTCAGCATTCAGGGAGAAGGCAAGACAGGCACGTGTGGAGGAGGTCTCGGCACCTTTGACATCTTGAGTATTTCACTCTGTGATTCTGCATCTTGAGGAGAGAAAATTTTTTGGTTTTGGTTTCACTTTTTTAAATGGGAAAGGGAGGGAAGAAAAGAGTGACCAACTGGCCAGAGCTAGTAATCAGACAAGGAATTCTGTGCCAGAGATCAGCATATCTATCACTGTATTAATCTCTGCTTGGGAGTCATGGACACACAACATAGAAGTCCTTGAGTAGAATCAGTGGGCAGTAATAGGGGACTGGGCAGAAGAGGCCGGAGAAAGGTCTCAGGTTAGTTGTTACCAAGCTGCCCAGTTCAGCCTAAGGTTGGTTTACCATGGTGAAAATTCCAATAAGGATTTGTTTACTGTTGTACCCCAAAAGGTAGAAGCAAAATGATGGGGGTTTTTTTTGTTTTGTTTTTTGTTTGTTTGTTTGTTTGTTTGTTTTTTAAAGGAAGAAAGGTAGAGGGGAAAATATAGTCACAAAGTCACAAAGTACTCTTCTAAAAACCCAATAGTTTTTAGAGGACTTGTGAAGGATGATGCTACCATTTGAATTCCCCAAAGTGAATCATTTTAAAGGAGCAAGAATAAAGGGGAGAATGAAGCTAAGTGAAATCTGGAGAGGAGTGATTTATAGCACCCAGTTATCCTGAGGAAGGAGGCAGAATGCTTATTTGTTCCCGAGAAGAACATCTCTTGAGAAAAATCTGGGTTTGGTTTCGTGCAGTTAGGTTTGTCATGTGTCGTCAACCGCAACAGAAAAGTGGGAGCAAACAGCCCTGGAGCAACTGGTACGATCACCAGACAGAGGAGGCCATGCCCCTGGTGAGGACTGGAAGGAGGGAGGGCAGGGAGGGAGGAAGAGGTGATGGCTTCAGCTACTGACTGCACCTACCATCACCCAAAGATGGAGAAATGTCCCTTCCTGACATATTAAAGAGAGAGAGGAAACTGATGTACGGGCATGCTTATGAGAGAGGAAGAGTGAGCCTAAAACAACAATCCCAAGGCCTGTAAACAACAAGTGGGTTTTGTCTTCGGCTTCTGTGTAGCTGAGGATTTTACTATTAGATGAGAAGCTGGCCTACTGAGAGGTGCTGGCTTGGGCTCATCTTTCTGGGTCACCCAAATGATTTCATGTAAAGTGGATGGGGTCTTTAAACCAATGTGAGGGCTTGGCGCTTTCAAGATGGCAGACTGTTTGTTTACTTCACATCAATATGTGAAGAATTACTTTGTTATTTTACCTGAAGAATAAGTGGTTTGAGAAGGAAAATCTATCCCAGAGCCTTCTTGATAGGCTCTGAGGGGGTGTTCTTGTTACTGAATGTGTATGTGTATGTGTATATATATATATATGTGTGCGTGTGTGTATATATGTGTGTGTGTGTGTGTGTGTACGTGTGTATATAGACACACATACACATTTATATATGTGGTTTTTTTTGTTTTAATAAAAAACATCAGTCAAATAACTGAGTTGGGAGGGCAATTTCCTTTAAATCTACTTTTGGTAGCAGCCAGACTTTTTGCTTGAAAAAAGTCCACCTAAGTCTTGGCATATCTTTTGATGTGTGTGTGTTCGTATTTCTATGCAGCCTGTTTTAATTTTTTTTTAATTATGGTAAATGATAGAAAGTTTTTCTTTCTTTTTTTTTTTTTTTTTTTTTTGAGACAGAACCTCACTCTATTGCCCAGGCTGGAGTGCAATGGTGAGATCTCAGCTCACTGCAACCTCCACCTCCTGTGTTCAAGCGATTCTCCTGCCTCAGCCTCCCGAGTAGCTGGGAACACAGGCGTGCACCACCACGCCTGGGTAATTTTTGTATTTTAGTAGAGATGAGGTTTCACCATGTTGGCCAGGCTGGCCTCCTGACCTCATGATCCGCTGCCTTGGCCTCCCAAAGTGCTGGGATTACAGGCATAAGTGCCTGTAAGAACAGATTAAGGTGCCTGGCCAAGAAAGTTTATCTCATTGTTGAACTTTGGGTGGAGCATGGAAGAGGTAAATGTTTCTAAGAGCTGTGTGTCTTCAATAATGTATATGGTAAACAGTAGTAGCAAGTCCACATTTCCAGAGAGGGAACATCTGGAGAATTCAAATGCAATTAACCAAACTGCATGCCACTCCCTCAGAGTCTGCCATTGAAGAAGGGCTCCTGGCACTCTGCTAAGGATCTTTTAAAGGCTTTGTCCATATCAACTGTCTTTTCTCTAGTGCAGCTCAATTCAAACTGGGCACTGAGGAAAATGGAGATTCTTTCTGTGTGTGTTTCAAAGGTGACCATCGTGAAAACAATTGGAAGCCATTAAGACTGACACATCATTGACCCATAGTGCTGATCTGTGGAGGGAACAAATAACCCAGGCTGATCTAGCAGTTTAGAGACATGGGTTCTGGTTCCAGCTCTGCCTCCAACTTTTTATGTAAGCTTTGAAAAGTCATATATATTTCTCTCTGTGCTACACATCTGTAAAAGTAAGCATAAAAACACTTGCTTGATATATCTCACAAAATTATCAAGAGATTATCATTAATCTCATGAGATCATGAGATTAAAATAAGACAAGGTCTTTAAAATCTTTAAATATGCTGTAATAATAAAATGTTATAGCTTATAATTCTGAAGGATCAAAATATGGTTGATCAGTAGTCAACCTCTCAACTTTTTAAAAGTTGTGCTGAGTTATAGGATATTTCTCCTACCCATTAGCACCACATATGGCTGCCTGCAGAAGACAAAGCCATTGGAAAACCATAGTCTCCTTAACATTTGGAAGATATGTTATATCAGGGAAATATATACTAGGCTTTTAAATCATGAGTGCATTTGGAAGATATGTTACATCAGGGAAATATATACTAGGCTTTTAAATTATGAGTGCATATGTGTGATCAATTTGAAATAAACTAAAATATTATTAGTGCAGTGCATGGGCTAGAAAAAAGGCACAACTTGAATAGAGTGAAGGAGCACAGAGATCATCTGAAATTAGTTTTGGTGGAATGCATGCGAAGGCAAACTCCACTTGAGTTATCATCTGACTTTAGTTTTGGTGGAATGCATGCAAAGGCAAACTCTACTTGAGTGATCATCTGACTTTAGTTTTGGTGGAATGCATGCAAAGGCAAACTCTGCTTGAGTGATCATCTGACTTTAGTTTTGGTGGAATGCATGCAAAGGCAAACTCTACTTGAGTGATCATCTGACTTTAGTTTTGGTGGAATGCATGCGAAGGCAAACTCTACTTGGAGACATTTTCTTCTATAACTGAGAAAAAGGAAATATAAATTCATGACAAAGAAAAGAAAATATTTACAAAGGGGTATATTTTGGGGAGGGGACAGAAGGAAAACCTTTCAACAGGGCATAGATAGGAAGAGCTGCATCTACACAAGCGTAAGAGTTTAAGTTCAGCTTTCCATGTCAGGTTGGAAAGAAAGTTAAATAAATTCAAACCAGTAATTATGATGAACCATATCCTTTGGGGTAGAAAAATTAACTGTGGCTTCTGGACAAGCACAATGCCCTCTACAGAGGGGCTACTTCTCTTTTGCCTGAGACGGTTCAACTCAGCAGGAGCTAGATTGAAATTGCAACAACAACAACAACAACAAAGCAAAGTCTATTGGAAAAGCACATCTTCCAGATTTTGGCTAGAGTTTAAAATACAAAAATAATGCTTCTAGGAATGCATATGGGATATATGACTAACTCAAGGTGTATGTGTGTGTGTGTGAGAGAGAGGATGAGAATCTGTACACTTATTTCCTTATTTCTCATACCCTTTTATTTCTACCCCCACTGACCCCAGTTTTTCCTTCTAAGATGTGAGAGCTGTCAAAGTTGACACTCTAATCTCAACTAGACAACATCTAACGGGGAAAAAATGTGTGTTGAATGACACAGTGTGCACTCCCTCAGGATCCCGTGGGGCTGAATCATTCTCATATGTTTGTCTCTCTCTGACTTTGAAATAGATCCAAAGATAAAAATTGTCTTCATCATCTTTTTCAGTGAGCTAGTTAGGGGGTGGCATTTGGTTCTGTTTTTTTTATTTCTTCTGTTGTTTTTTCTGAGAAGGAAATAATCAGCTGCTGGCTGTTGGTTTTAGGTAACACACTCTTACATTGATTTAAGGTGGGGAGGATGTTGCAGGGATGGAAGGTAGTAGGGTCAGGGGTATGCCAGTCTCTGTAGGCTGCTCAGTACACTCTGTTCTCAAGGCTGTTTGCTATGCGGGCCGCAGGCTTTGGGCCTTTGAAGGGTTGAATACCATCTTTTGATTTACCATGGTTGATGGCAGGGAGGATTGGAAACTCAGGAACACACGCACACAAAAAGATCCAGCAAAAGAAAAAAATATAACCTAAAATGACCAAACACACACATACACAAACAAAAGAAAAACCAAGAGACACACTGACAACAGAAGTCAAATGAAGTTGGACAAGAAAAAGGGCACAGTATTGTAAACACTGCAAACTAGAAGAAAAAAAAGACGTAACTAAAGAAGTCACTGCTCAAAACAGTCCTTTGTGTCCCAGAGATTTTAGGTTTATGGTGTAGGCATTTTCCAAGTATGTCCAGTTAACCTGACAGTAGATAAGATTGGAATGGATTCAAAAACCCCACCTTCCCACCAGGACATCTAGGCCTACATATGATCTCACATCTGGTACATTTGTTCATCATTTTTTCTCCATGGCTCTGACAAACCATTTCACTGAAATCTTTATAAGGTATCGCTATATTCAAACATATTCTACATACCCAAATAAATTCACTAGCTTAGAAAGTTTGGACCCAGCTATCTCACTAATCTTATCAATGCTGGGTATTGACTTTCTGCTGATTAGAAACAGCAGAAATGGAGAGGTTTATTTTTTCTTGCCAAAAACTAAGAGGACCCCAATCTCTATAGAATATCAATTAGAATTCAGTAAAGGTCAATAGCAGAAGAGAATATGAGGCCATAAAAAGGAAAATTTCCAAAGATTTTGTTATAGGTAATTACAACGAAAGAGAAAATCCTATTCCGATAAAGCTACAACTTTGAAGTCACAATTTTTCAACTCTGAGGTAAAATAGATATGGGTTATATGAGGAGAAGAGAGTTATTAGTGAGTGACAGTACGAGGTAACAATCTTTGCACAAGGGGATGCTGAGTGATGGTTAAGAATCTCAAGAAGAAAAATTGGTATAGGTATCAGGAGTCACATTTTCCTTCACGTGTCACAGACTCTCAACTTAGGGCATTATTTTCCAAGGGAACAACAATTGATTTGTCCTCCCTCTAGGAGAAAGTCAAAGGAGATATCAGTGTCATCAAGGCCACCAGAATTCTCCATTTGCATAGTAACTGTGGAGCTAGAAACAATGTACTTCTCACTCTACCCACATAGTTTAATTTCCTACAACCCCACCATCCACATTTTGCCTCCACTTCCTGCCCTGTCCCTGTCCCGAGCTTTGACTGTTTTGAGTGGTGACGGAGGAGTTGGACTTATGGGAATATGATTGATCAAAAGATGGACCAAAGTAGCGTGTTTTACACAAAGCTAAACGATTCCAAAAAACCAAGAAAGGAAACTTAGAAAACAAATAATCTAGTAAAGAAATCACCACTGTCAGAAACCAGAAATTGACATCAAAACCTCATGCAGAAACAAGGAGGTGTTTGTTGCTGTTGGGTTTATCCTTGGTCTATTAAACAAGAGGTGAGCAGCTAACTTTCAAGAAACAAACAAAGAATTCAATCAAACCAATGAAAATCAGAAAAGAAAGGGAAGACAAGCCCAAACAGAGTGGCAGAGGGTACTTCATACGATACCTAAGTTAACCATGAGCTTGACACGCCCCCCATCCAGCTCCAGACGCAGGGTGTCGGCAGAGTCCCTGGAGGTCGTAGCCACCAGCAGCCCATAAGCTCGCTGGGACATGAAGCGGAAGGACACATCCTCTGCCTCAGTATGCATGACCATGGGCATGATGATCTTCATGTACATGCTACCATCATAACTCAGGATGGATGCCTCTGCCAAAGAAGAATGGAGAAGATCGTTAGGATGACGGATGTTACAGTTGCCAAATACCCCTTTGCTTTCAGGCTAAGCAGAGTAGAGAGGGTGCCAGATTTGTAGCCTAGTGACTTGTGTTTGATGAACCCTTGTTGTTGCCCCCTTTTTATCTATGTGACCCTGGGCAGATCACTTAAACTCTGAGGCTCTATTTCCTCATTTGTAAGGGGATTATCATGACACTGGTACCTGCCCTACCAGGTTCACAGACTTGTGAAGGATACCAAATTAAATAATGGATATGAAGATATTTTGAAAAAGTGAAAATGCCCCCACAGATAGTATTCTTTGCAATTCTGTATGCTATAGATAAAACACAAGTACATATAGCAAAACTTAGAATCCCTCTATTCCATGAAGAAGAGGAGGAGAGCAGCAGTATATAACCACCAGAGCAGACAAATCAATATTTACCAGAGAGCTTTTAAAGGAAGGAAAAAGTAACAGCATAGTCTGGCATCATAACATCCCCAGTGTCCAGCCATTGTAAGAGTTTGGCCCATTCAAAGAATATCTGATAGAAGCAGAGCTAGAACAATAACAGAAAGCTAATGACACCCTTGAAAAACTCATTTTATTTTATTCAAATAGGGAAAGAGGAAAACTCAATTATTATATTATTATTTTTTTTTTTGAGACAGTCTTACTGTGTTGACTAGGCTGGAGTGCAGTGCAATCTTGGCTCACTGCAGACTCTGCCTCCCTGGTTCAAGCAATTCTCCTGCCTCAGCCTACTGAGTAGCTGGGATTACAGGCACATGCCACCATGCCCAGCTGAGTTTTGGATATTTTGTAGAGATGGGGTTTCGCCATGTTGGCCAGGCTGGTCTTGAACTCCTGACCTCAAACAATCCACCTACCTTGGCCTCCCAAAGTGCTGGGATTACAGGCATGAGCCACTACGCCTGGCTGAAAACTCACTTTTATTTGATACCTTCCTCAGTCTAAGCACTTTGGTTAGGATCCCCTCCAGACCTCCCCCAACAATATGTTACCTCAATTAATGCTATAGTGTGATTCTATTATTCCTACTTTCAGACAAGAAAACCAAGACTCTTAAAGAGGTATGTTATCATCCTAAAGTCACACAGCCTCCCTGGATTAGACTCAGTATATCTGATACCAAGTCCAGGGACTATTATGAAATACTATGATGTTCGACATGTGAATTTGTTTAAACATTCACTAGGCAAATCTTTTTAGAAAACACAGGAAGAGAATATCACTCATATTCCTAGGAAGCAAACCGGTCATTGGGTTCAGTATCATTGAGTGGGTCTTCATTAAATATTTGCTTTTGTCAAATATTTGCTACCTACATGCACTATGGAGAATACAATGGTGAAACAGACAAGGTTCCTGTTCCAAAGGCAGATATAGAATTCACAAGTAACTGTACTAGAACATACAAGTGGTTAAATGACACAGGAAATAAATATAAAGCAAGTAACATTCACAGGAGGGGAGCTGAAGGAGGAAGGCGATTAAGGTAAACGGGATAGAGTCTGTGCTGGTCTTGGTGGATGGGGAGGGCTTGTAATGAAAGAAGCAATGGCACCATTTTCAACAGGTAGAGCAGGTAGTATCTCTACAGACACAAAGGAAAGAAAGAAAGAGGATGCTCAGATTATGACAAACTATTCAATTTAACAGAAGCATCTGATGTGGTTTGGCTCTGTGTCCCTACCCAAGTCTCATCTCAAATTGTAATTTTCATAATCCCCATGTGTCGAAGGAGGGGCCTAGTGGGAGATGATTGGATCATGGGGGTGGTTTCCCCCATCTTGTTCTCATGAGTTCTCACAATATCTGATGGTATTGTGTTTGACAGTTCCTCCCTTCATGTGCTCTTTTCTCTCCTGCCGCCTTGTGAAAAAGATGCCAGCTTCCCTTTCCATCACAATTGTAAGTTTCCTGAGGCCTCCCAAGCCTTGCAGAACTGTGAGTCAATTAAACTTCTTTCCTTTATAAATTACCAGTCTCATGTAATTCTTTTCCTTTTTTTGAGATGGAGTCTCACTCTGTCATCCAGGCTGGAGTGCAGTGGCGCGATCCCGGCTCACTACAAGCTCTGCCTCCCAGGTTCATGCCATTCTCCTGCTTCAGCCTCCCAAGTAGCTGGGACTACAGGTGCCCACCACCATGCCCAGCTAATTTCTTTTTTATTTTTAGTAGAGACGGGGTTTCACCGTGTTAGCCAGGATGGCCTCAATCTCATGATCTCTTGATCCAGCTTGGCCTCCCAAAGTGCTGGGATTACAGGCGTGAGCCCACGTGCCTGGCCTCAAGTATTTCTTGACAGCAGTGTGAAAACAGGTTAATACAGCATCAGACATGTATTTTTTAAAATGGTTATTATGTAAGGTAGTTTGAGACCAGAATAAAATCAAAGAACTTGGGCATCTACTGGAAAGTAAGTAAATGGTTTTAGATTATGAGATACAATAATATATACTTCTGTGCTTACTGATTGCCAGGCACAATTCTAGGTGATAGACATAATAGTGAACAAAAGAGAAAAACACCCCTACCCTCATATCTAGAAAGAATTGAAACAGGAAGAAACAAGAGTCAGGCAGACCACATGGAAGGGTCCCAAAATACTGTGTTATTATCATACCCTTACCCTGTTTAGATACCACACAAAAGATCCATGAAAAGTAATATAAATGCACTTATGATATGCCTGAAAATCAGCCATCTCCCAGGTAAAACTCATAACATGCTAATAGCTGCACATTACAATTTGCAAACTGTAAAGGGATTACAGATAAAAGTGTGACAGTTGCAAACATTATTACAATAAGACATGTTATGAAGATCTCTTCTTAGGTTGGAAGCAATCTAAATTTAACACATGATCCAGATATGAAACAAAATAAAACAAATCTTTTATCTCCTGGAAGGGCAGAATCAAAAGAAGATCAAGAATGATACCTAAAATTGAGCATTTACTATTTGCCTGGTGCTTTCTAGGACTTTATATGCATTAAGAAGTCATTTAATTTTCAAGAACACCATGAAGCACTATCACATTTTCTAGATATCAAGTAACATGTCTAATGAATGGCAGAGCTGGGAGTTGCATGCAGGCAGTCTGATTCTCCCAGCTGTATACTTAGCAGTCCTGCCAAGTTGTCATAGTGCTATGCCTAGAGCACACCCATGTTTCCAAGCACCAAAGCACGTCCATGACGCTTCATGATAGTTCTTGTGTGTGTATGTGCACACATATACAAACATGCCATTCATTAAAGTCATATATCATAAATATACAAAATTGTATAAACATATAAATATTTCTAAACATATTGCTATATATGGATATGCCATGCTCTCTGTGTAATTGTGAGCACCATTAATCATTAGTATGCACCTACTTCTACATACAAACACACTCTTCTTTAAGAGATATTAGGATACGAAGTGAGCCATGAAATGGTTGCTTTGATGCATCCCACTGAAATACATTTCAAAATCAATGGCTGCTTTTTTCCTCTAGATATGTGTAGGGCCAGAACATACATATAAATTAATGCATCCTTACCTCAATATTGGTAGCATCAGAGAATAAATATCAGGTGAGCATGTAGTTAAACAACTAATGATACAAAATAAAGTGTGTATCTCAATGTGTATCTTTGTGCATTTCTGTGAATGTGTTCTATAAGTAATATCTTTAAGAGGAGAATGATGAAGCAGTAAATTTAATATAGGAGTCAACTGAAACAAAATGTTATATGGATTCATATTAATTTTTAAAAAAATTTTAAACACAAGGAGAGCCATGAATAGAATATTAATTTTAGGGAAGAAATGAGCCTAATAAAATGTCATTCAATCTTAAATCAATCAGATTATTGAGTATTGAGAGACCACATCATGGGATGCCTACCTAATGGTACTTAAATAGTTATTCTATCTTGTTCCTCTTTTTTTCTTTTATTATCTCCTTTTGTCTCAAGTGAATACTTCCAAGCATACTATTTTAATTCTTTTAATAATTTTAACTATGTTTTTGTGATACTTTCTTATTGGTTGCTCTAGGGCTTACAATATACATGTTAATTTACCAGAATCTACTTCATTTTTATACTAATTCAACTCCAGTAAGACAAAGAAAGTTTACTCATAGATATAGCTCTCTTCCCTTCCACTCTTTCTGTTCTCTTATTCACGTGTCTATATACATTACAAACCAAATGATACATTGTCATAATTCCTTTATAAAAACTTATATCTTTCTTTTTTTGAGACAGAGTTTCACTCTTGTCCTCCGGGCTGTAGTGCAGTGGCCTGATATCAGCTCACTGCAACCTCTGCCTTCCTGGTTCGAGATTCTCCTGCCTCAGCCTCCTGAGTAGCTAGGATTACAAATGCCTGCTACCACACCCAGTAAATTTTTGTATTTTTAGTAGAGACAGGGTTTCGCCATGTTGGCCAGGCTGGTCTCGAACTCCTGACCTCCAGGAGTTCGAGATCCACCCACTTCGGCCTTCCAAAGTGCTGGGATTACAGGCATGAGCCACTCTGCCCAGCCAACTTATGTCTCTTTTAAGAAGCTAAGAGAAAAGAAAAAGAGAGCTCAAATACATAGAGACTTTTTAAATAAAGCTTATTATTTATCATCTTTGACTCTCTTCATTTCTTCCTGTGTATTCTACTTACCACCTTCTGTCACTTCCTTTTTCCAGTAGAGCTTCATTCATGGTTTATTGTCAAATATATTACAATTCTATATATTATAGGCATTACAATACTATTTTATAGATACTGTTTATGTGATTGCTTTTAGAATTAGATAAGAAAAAATGTATAATTATACTGTGTTTTGTCATTACCTACCTAATTACCTTTACAGAGCCCTTTTTTTTTTTTAATGTAAATTCAAATTACTGTCTGCTGTCACTTTCTTTCAGCCTGAAGTCCTTTTAGCAGTTCTTGTACGGTAAGTGTG